TCAAAATAAAAAGGAATTAATAACAAAGATAGAACATCTGTTGTGGTGTGTAACCAGGCCCTGGGAATGGGGTGTCTTCTCTCTGAACCAGTCACCTTTTCTCTACTCTTGGAATTGGCAGTCATGCTATAAAACCAAGTGTGTTTCTGAATAAACTTGTCTCTTTCTTCCTGTCATGAAAGATGACCATGTAGCTGTGCATCTTATTTCTGCTGCACTTAAAGGGTTAAAACCCCTTTCCACGGCTACACAGAGCAAGGGGCAATGGCTTGAAACTGAAAGACAGTAGGTTTAAGTGAAATATTAGGAATAAATTCTTATGGGTGTGGTGAGACACTGGCACAGGTTGCCTAGAGAAATTGTGGATGCCCCATCCCTGGAAGGCTAGGTTGGATGAGTCTTTGAGAAACCTGGTCTGGTGGAAGCTGTCCTGGCATCAGGGGTGGGGATGGGAGGTTTTGAATTAGGTGATCTTTAAGGTTTCTTCCAACCCAAATCATTCTATGAGTCTATGATTTTATGACTCTGAGTTACAACTAACAGGCTTTATAGAAAGTACAATAGAGTTGCTGTGAGTCATGGTAGATATAATACATGCACTTTGTTTTTCCTTGTTTTTCTGTGCTTGTAAATTGCTAACTCATGATAGATGCAAATGAAACATTTGGCATTTCTAGTTTTTCATTCTGTTAGGTTCCTTTTGCTATTTTCCTTTAGGCTGTAACCCTTTTCTGTCAAACTTGCTTTGCATTTGTTTTTGAGTAGATATTTATGCATTTTTCTATTTATATATTAAAATATAGCATTCATTTTCTACAATTTAGCAACAGAGAAATACAACATTTCCTCATGGATCTTTGCTGATTAAAGAGAAAACATACAGAATAGATCCAGTTTCTAACTGGATGCTGAAAACATTTTATAAAAGCCAAAAGTATATTATGTTCAAATATGTAACAAATAAAATGCCTTAATGAACATAATACCATAACAATATCTTGCATCTGAACACAACGGTGTCTTTAACTCAATTTACATTAAAACTAATTAATATAATTATCATTAAACCCACATTTGTTTCAGTGAAGTTCTCAACTTTCAAAGAGACAGAGGCTTGCCATCCATTTTTGGTAGGGCCAGTAATGCTGCTTGTACTTTGGCAAGGCAGAAAAATGTGTCGGCTCTTTGATTAATAATATTTTGCAAAATAAGTTCCCTCCTCTCAGGCTATTTCATATTTTGTTTTACTCTGCTGTACGAAATATTTTATCTCCCAAACGTTATTAGAGATAGAAACATGTTCACAAATCTTTTTTTCTTAAACTTATGTATTGTTTATTGTAGCATCTCTTTGAATGCCTCTGAAAAGCACAAGATTAAACCCCCTCAGTGTGTTAGATTCCACTGACAGGTGAGATTGAGTCTTTTTTATGTCATGTGACTGGGTAAACAATTTTGTTTACAGCAGTACCATGATATGTTGTTCTCTCAAGCAGTAGGTGCACAATCTACAACACAAATACCTGTAAAAATAGAAAGGGAAAAGTGAGTCGTGCTGTGTACCTTTGACTTTTAGTTCCACCAGTACTGATATATATTGAAATATTGTGCTGCTGTGCTGTTTCAACCCTGGGGAAAAATTGGTCCCCTGTAAATAAGTGTCACGCATAGGGCTGCATATCATTGTAATAACAATTCCTGCTTACTTCTCTGATGATCAGAGCTCCTGTTCCTTACAGTGCTGAAACTGTAAATAAATGAATCAGACACCTAAATAATGGGAATAATAGTTATGTTGTTTGTGATGTGTCTTGTGTTTCATTACTCTTTGGAGCTCCTCACAGGTTTTTTAGTCAAGTAGAACTGCAGCTCAATTCTAGCAGCCACCGTGAGCCAAGTGTGCTTTTGGCTAAACACAGTTACCTTCCATTTTCGTGGCCTTCAGGTAATAACCACAAAAGTCCACAATCTTGAAAACAAATACCATCTTCATTTGTTACATATGTCACTACAAACAGATGCTTATACAGAGGAATTCAGTAGCTTCTTAAAGTGATTAAAAGATTACAGGTTGAGGGGAGCATTATTAAAGGATTAGAAACCTCTCTTAACAACTAAAAGCACAAGTAGTCTAAGGTGTTACACTTCTTGATTTGTGAAGATATGAGTACGTGGGTTTGCACTTTCCAACCGTATGAGTAGATGTGGTTTTGGCTGATGTGGAAAGCATTATTATTGCCAGAATTCCTAAACACACCCAGAACACGTATTATAAACACCCTGAGAGCACCTACTGCTGCTGCTAGAGAGGGGGAGAATCAAGATTTAGATTTACAACACACTGAAAAAAACACTGATGTAGTGAACTATTTTTAAGCAGTTAATGTTTATTTCAACAAAAATTGGAATTTACATGGAAGATATTTTTGGAGTTATTTTCAACTATACATTAGTTAAAGAAGGCAATAGACTTTTACTGAACAGTGTGTTTTTAATGCCATATTTATGGTATGGCTCTTAAAGGTCATGGATTTGCTGAAAGCTATATGAAAGTGTGCTTGTTGTAATGTTAATGTTGTAAAAATGACATTGTAATGTAAAACTTTTAATGTTTCTAAACTTCTCATTCATACAGTTAAGACCAAGAAATTCCATTCCTCTCGTGATGGATAAATGTGTTTGGATAATGCCAGTGCCTGCAAAATAGTTACTGCAACAGTGGTCACTTCAAGGAAACCTAACAGGTTTGCAGCAAACAACTGAGCCCTTGGACCCAAGTGAGTGGCATCTGAGCTTAGCTTTTTCAATATTCAGCTCTACAATGTAAAACAGTTTTTTCCCCAGTAACAACACCCCTTTGAAATGATTGTATTTTTCAGAGCTGTGGATTCAATACCAAGTTATACTTCTAATAATTGTACATTCTTGGTAGCTTGGAACCTGTTCAGAAAGTAATTTAAGTTTTATGACCTATATCAGAAAAAAAATCCATTCCAGAATTTTTTCCATTCCTTCTAAGAATTGCCCATTCAGCTTCAAACACCCCTCTGTCTCTTAACTTGCCATTAGGAAAAGAAGAAATATCTGCAGGGAAGGGATGCAGTTGTGCCTCAGCAGCAAAGAGAATAGCACACAGCTGTGGCAGTCAGGATCAGGATCCTGTGCTCACATTCTGCAGGGGAACACAAGAGTACCTTCATTGATTCAGAGCAGTCAGCAGCACCAGTCTTCTCTTTCCTGTAGTAATTATAAGTAGACACCTGGAAGGAGCACTAAGAACAGGCCAAGCTAATGTGATATTTCCTCCTGAAATTTTCCCCACACGTGATTGCTCACAGCTAAGGGGATTGTCTATTGGGTTGGTCTCTTTTGTGACCTTTTCTCTTGCAAGGCGTCCCAGGCAATGGGCAGTATCCCATTAATTCCCTTGCATCCAGAGTTTCCTTTGGCTGTGCAGGGCACCCTTCCACATCTTGTATCTCACCCCACACACCACAGTCCTCAGGGAAACTGCACAGATTATGCAGAATCTCCTGCACTCAGGCAGGAATTCCTGACTATCTGCTAGAGCATTTCTTACCATCAGCTAATGCCTTTTTGTACCTCTCAGTCCTGAGCAAAAAAAAACTGTCAAAAACATGAAGCTGAACCTACAGAAGAACTACAACTGTCTCTAAGTATAGAAAAAGGCTTTCCATCAAGTTCCAGAGGCAGTGAGGACCTGGAGCTCCTGTTTCCCGGTAGGAGATAAACATCTCACCTTCTGGCCTCATTAGCACTGTCCTGGCGACTCCAGTTACCTTTTCTCTCAGATGATTAGCACACCGATATAAAATCACAGGGATTTCTTCAACTTGTATTTAGCTTTGAATATCACTGCCCTGTGTGAAGAAAGGCTTGACTGTCTGCGAGCTTTTATTTTCCCCCCTCTGTAACAGTTGGTCTGTGAAAGATCTTCCTTCCAGCTCTCCCTTTCTTGTGCCATTGAAAGTTCATCGTGGTCATGGTTACTGCTAAGAAAACTGCTGTTGACGAAATGGTATTTTTTGAATTACTGCTCATTGTGTTCCATTTTCAGTTTGCATTTAGTGTCAGTAACAAAGACTTAAGCTTTCCTAATACTGAATTTGAGGATAGCGGAAGTCAGGGCTTCGAGGTTAGGATAACTGGGTAAGTAGGCCAATAAGTAATTATGATAAGAAGGTTAGGATAATTAGTAGCAGCAATAAATGGCTAAAGTTATCCTGCTTGAGTTCTCTGTTCTACATTTTGTCAGTGATCGTTTTCTTAGGACAAATTATGTGAAGCAGCAATACTTCGTTAAATACTGTTGCAGTCATAGAAGGTAAAACTAAATTACAGCAATGGGGAGGGATCACTGTTTTTTGATGAAGTAATTGGTGCTAGTAAAGTGGAATATTATAGAGGAATCACTGTTTTTTGATGTAAAAAGGATGAAGTAACTGGTGTTGATAAAGTGGAATATTATACAGTGAGTGATACTGAATGAGCACTGAAAGCCCAAAACTGAAATTCATCAAATGGAAATACATGAAAAGCTTAACCATCAATACATTCAAGGTGAAACATCCTGCAGCTGACTTTACTAAAAAGGGATTTTAAAGAAAAAGATGTGGTTAGCATTTTAATGCATATATGATTTATATTTGCACACAGACTGTGCTCAGCACTGGAGAAATTCCAGTAATAGTTTTTGATTTTCTTTCAATGTCTCTTCTTCTACTATTTTTAGGATTTATGTCTCTAGTGCTTGGGCTTTTCACTCCATCTCCTCCTAGTACTGAAGTTTGGTTGACTTTGTGTCTAGGCCAGCCTCTGTAGAACAGACTATCTGGTTCCAAGTAGGTTGCAAGTCCGGTTGTCCATAGTCTAGTAATTCTTCTGAATCTTTCCTGTACTTTGTCTCAAAGTGGAAGATCTGCTATAATGTCACTTTTTCCTGGTGGAGCATGTAAATGCAAAGAACCACAGACACATGGGTTCTAAGTGTACTGACAATTATAAAAAAGAGTGCAGCTTTGCCATGCAGGAAAGCTTCAAAGAACACATCAGAGCTGTATATTCTGCTTTCTTGCTATTGCTGGTATTTTCTTTTTCTGACCACATTATGCTAGAAATTAAAGTCAGTAGTGTCTGTAACAAAGGCTGTATCCTTGTCCCTTAGTTTTTTTCCTGAAGAACTTACAGCTTGAATATTAGTCTCAGAGTTGGCTGATGTATGCCAGCTTTTGTGTTCATCTATGTTCATCATGTATCCACTTCTCTTCCTGCTGACCTAATTGGATTGTGAGGGGGTTATTTGATTTAAATTATCGAGCTATGGAATGCTGCATGTCTACATCTGATCTTGTTAACAGCCTCTGAAGTTTCCTAGAACCTTAAAAGGTGTTGGTCTTCAACCTGAAAACCCAAACGGAATATGATGGTTTTATTTCATTGGAAGGTTCTTTTCTCCTTTTTTTTCCCCCTCCTTTTCATAGACCAGAAGTTGTGGGGTTCATCCAGTTCTCAGAGGGATAATATTTCCATGTAAAAAAAAAATAGTCAAACCACTGGTCTTCCTTTTATTTTTTAAGTGTATCTTTCTCTTTGAGAAGATAAATACAAACACTGCAGTGCTGATCAGGATCTACAGGGCAGATGTATGTGTAAACACAGCCTCAAATAAACTGGTGGTTTACATGCCTATACATACTATGTATAGTAGTAACATAAAGTAGCCCTGACAAAGATTGTTTTAAGCACTTTGTAAACAGATAAACAAGTCCATTCCGCCTGTCACAAAACTTGCAAAAACGCAAAATAAGTTGTTGCAGATGAATAAAGTAAGCTAGATCATTTCCCATTTTCTGAGGAGATCAGAATAGTGATAGGAGTAGTTCAGTCACAGTACCAGCTTGCTGCTTGGGGATACACTTTATATTTAATGTTATGGCATCCAACCTTTTGAAAACAAAGCATTTAAGTAATGTGTACACACTACACACATACACATATGCACAAACAATCAGTTCATTATCATAGGTCAAAATATGTTTGTGACAGTAATTATAGATTCAGAAATAACATTGCATTTCTTTAACTTAGTAGAGCCATAAGCCAAATGAAATACAAGCTTTATATGATATTTCTTTTTGGCAGAGCTGACATTTTTCTAAAATTTCATCCTCAAAATTCTTAATATTTGCTATTTTGCCATGAATTGAAATGTATCCTGCATGACTAGTAAGGCATGTTTCACCCGAATTTTTCACACCCTATGGAGTATAAAAGATTCAGCAATGAGAAGTATTTTACCCAGTTAACCATTGCCTCTGAGCTTATGCAAGAGGCTGGTATGTTTCCAACTAGGCCTGTAAGTTTGCAACATGAACTCCAAATGTGCATCGAATTGGGCCAGGCTTGGGGCTTCCATCTCCTTTGTGCTGTCCTTGCTTCAAAAGTTGGTTGAAGCCTTTTGCTTCTCTACTGAAACTTCTCTTATGCTTAATGAACTTAATGAGGAAAAAAATGTTTTAAGGGAATTTTTTTTTTCCTTTAAAAGATAAACCCTAAGGAAGTTATAGGTGTTAAATGCTATGACTCCTTTATGTGAAAAATAAGCAGCTTGGTGATTATTCTGAAAATACTGGATGAGGTTTCCAAGAGGATTTGAGCCAGCTAGGAAGTTAAGGTAATTAATAAACCTAAGTACTGGTGTGTTGGTTGGGCAGACTCTGCTTCTTACTAGGTGGCTCTGCATATCACTATGGAAAAAAAGTGGTATCATGGCAGTCTTGTTTACTTCTTGTTTGGAAGACTCCTCTTCCAGTGACTTGAGGTGTCTGAGTAGTGCAGTGTGTGACTCTAACAGAGGAGAAGCATACAGGGCAAAGCAGTGTGTGATTTTCTTCCATCCCAGTGAGGAAATCCAAACTC